TGTGTGTGTGTGTGTGTGTGTGTGTGTGTGTGTGTGTGTGTGTGTGTGAGTGCGTGTGTGTGCTCTATTAAATTATGAATAATTCCTCTCATTTGCCCACCCTGTTAAATCGGACCTGTCTCTGCTCATGTGTCCCCCAGGAGGTGAGCTACTGCCAGGGGATGAGTCAGATCGCTGCCATTTTGCTCATGTACCTGAATGAGGAAGAGGCCTTCTGGGCTCTGTCCCAGCTCCTCACCAACAGCAAGCATGCCATGCATGGTGAGGGACAGAGGACGCGATGAAGACAGACACAAACAAAGCAGAGCTTATAGTATTCGACATATCGAATATAATAAACTCTTCTCATTGAAAAGGACACAAATGTGTCAGAGTTAATATCAAGTTTTTGTTTTTTTTGTTTGTTTTTTACTGTGCTAGGGTTCTTCATCCCAGGATTTCCCAAGCTGTATCGTTTCCAGGCCCACTATGAGCTGATCCTCTCCAAGATGCTGCCAAAGCTGAAGAAACACCTGGTAGGTTAAAGTACATCTGTACGACTCGTGCTTTCTGTCCATGCAAGAGACGTGGGGCTAAGGTCTTGGGGCTAAGGTCGTGGAGCTAAGGTCGTGGGCTGCAGTCACTTTATTCGGCTCATTTCTCATCATTTTGAATAAAAGGCCAGGAGTCTGAACTGGAAAGTGGGAACAGATTATGTGGAGTGACGTCCCATAGAGACTAATCCTCATTCTTTCTTGCCCCACAGGACAAGGAGCAGATGACAACAGGAATCTACACCACCAAATGGTTTTTGCAGTGCTTCATTGATAGAGTGAGTATTTTGACTCCCAATAGAATGCAAACTGCATGAATCTTCTTCCCTGTACATATCTAGTGCCAGACATATTCTGCATTGAAACTCATTAATCAGTATAGTCTTTTGAACATGGGACTACATCTGGTGTTTTTTTTAAAAATCTGCTGCTGTGTGTCTTACATAACAGACCCCGTTCACCCTCACCCTGCGTTTATGGGACATCTACATGATGGAGGGAGAGAAGACGCTAACTGCCATGGCTTATACAACCCTCAAGTTACACAAGAGTGAGTATGAGGATGACTATGTTGTCTCTCGTGCCGTGCAGTGCTGAGCAAGTCAAACCAGTTTAATGCCCAGATGCAGCCATGGCTGCTGTTGCTATACCAGCGAGTGTTACATCGCATGCTGCCTCTCGCTTGGCTGCCTCCTAACTGGCTTACATAACGCAAGTGGGCAGTTGCCGCGGAGAAGAATCAAAAGCTGACTTTTCATTGGACGCCTGCACGAGCATCGCCTCAGCACAGTTGCATTCTTTTGACGGGCCACTTCTTCACTTTGTGTCTTAAAGTTAGGCCTGTGTTGAAGTCTTTTTAACAATATAATTGCTATTCATGGTTCATATCAGAGAGATTACTCGTAGACTAGCATCACCCATTCATTCATTCCAACTTTCTGTGTCCAATCAGAGCGCCTGCAGAAGCTTCCATTGGAGGACCTGAGGGAGTTTCTCCAGGAGCAGGTAGCCGTTTCTTTCTTCCTGCCTGATGATGTGGTGGTTGAACAGTTACAGGCCGCTATGTCTGAACTCCGCAGTAAAAAGCTGGACCAACCTCCTGCAGGTGCAGTTTTCTTTTTATTCTTTTATCGGGATAAAGCTACATTCACATTCAAAGCTACATTTACAAGCTAAAGTAACACGTTTCCCTTTGTTGATGTATTCCCTATCTTCCGTTTTTTTTTTTTTAGCCAAGTCAGACGAGCAGCCAAAGAAACCTCTGGGTCAAGAGAGACCAGTTCTCATTCTGCCTCTGCAGCCTGACTCTCCTCTGGAGGTCAAGGTGAATCTGCAACCCAATGCAGAGGCCCAGCAAGCAGACAGCATCACCCTACACCAGACCCCTTCGCCCGCGGAGCCCCAGGACTCGAGAACTCCTTCTCTGCCTTCACCCGACCCGGTTGTAGTCCACACACAGGGAACACCTTCTCCTTTGAGGCCTTGCAGAGCACCCCCGTTACCTCCAAAAGCACACAAACCCTGCGCTGAGGTCGGACTGGACAGAGATGTAAAGGAGTCGCTTCCAGAGGTTAGCCAGACCGAAGATGTCGGAAAACAGGAGGGCCAGCCTGGAGACCCTGAGACCCAGGAAGAGCCGATGGATTGGCCTCCACCTTATCAGCCCCCTGGTTTGGAACCTCTTGATGTGCTGACGGAGGAGGAGTTGGACCTTCCAGTGCTGCCACCTCCACCTTTCTTTGACACTGCGCAGAATGACCAAAGGAGTCTGGATAGTGGATCACCCTGCCTGGGGACTGGGACGGGCTCAGAGACCCAGCAGTGCTCTCCTTCTCCTCGCTCAGCCTCACCACTGGTCACTCAAATGAAGCCATCGCCAAAACCATGCCCAAAACCATGCCCAAAACCATGCCCAAAACCATGCCCAAAACCATGCCCAAAACCACCCCCAAAACCACCCACGTCTCTTCATCTCGCACGGAAAGAAACTCCTCCCCCAAAGCCTCCCTCTCACCGTGCCTTCACCACATCCTCCTCCTCTCCCAGACTTCCTCCCCCTAAGCCAACCAAGTTCCCGGTCTCTCTCTACGTGCCGGTGCCCACCGGAGACCGACGACCCTCCAACACCTCCCAGTACGACAACCTTTCTGAGGCGGATGAAGACGACCGCTTCCTGGAGAGGCTGCTGGGCTCCACGCCTGAGGAAATTCCCAGCATGCACAGCATTGCCCCACGCCCCACCGGCAGAGACTATGACGCTGCTCTCCACCCTCTGCCTCCACCTCCTGTGTTCATCCCTCCCTTGCCCTCTCCTATTCCTCCCTCGCTGTGCGGTCTCCCCAGTTTGCCTCAGGAGCCAGAATATGAAGGAGAGGACAGCTGGGTGGTGGACTCCATCATCCCCCCTCCTCCAGCCAATTTTGCTGACAGACTCACTCCCTACAAGTGTGGTGCTGCCAGCTGTTCAGACACGCACAGAGCCACCTCACCCGGTTACTCTAAGCCTTTCTCCAGGGGCCCCAGGGACCATTCTGCTTTCCCAGCACCACTGTTGTACACCGGGTCTCCCCCAGGCCACTCCAGGCCCTCAGCACAGTCGGCAGTAGGAGTGCCCTTGGTCGGATCCAGCCCAGACTTTTGCAGGATGCCTCCAGGTGGTCAGCAACTGCCCAAATCAGTGACCTTTTAAAGTGTCCACGTATTTTCCAAGCATCACTGACTACGCCAATATGATTCAAACTGTCTGTTGATGCTTGATTAGTTTTCAAAGCCATTCGAGGTCAAAGGCCAGTAGCCTGTGTGTGTGTGTGTGTGTGTGTGTGTGTGTGTGTGTGTGTGTGTGT